ATGATGATGATGACTGATAATGATGCTGATGATGATGATGACTGATAATGATGATGATGACTGATAATGATGATGATGACTGATGATGACTGATGATGATGACTGATGATGATGGTGATGGTGCTAATTATAATGGAAACGATGATAATAATTGTGATAGTAAAGACAAAAAGTGATTCTTGGAGACAATGACTGTAATCTTCTTTAGAGCAGTTTTTTGGATGACTGAGAAAAAGGCATTGCCTTGCACTTGCYGTGATGTTTTCTAGAATTTTTATTGGGGGATTTTTTTGTCGCTATTGAACTGTGATTGGTCTGGCAGTGCCGTGACATTGGTGTGACTGTGTCCACGTCATCCATGCTGTGTTTATGCCATGCTTGGGCATTTGATTAAATGGAGAGTAAATTCCCATGCAATGYGATTGGTCTGGTTTATGCCTTGCYGTGTTTTGAYYGTRTTAGTGCTTAGGTCTATGGTACTTAGTCTAATGAATAAAATTTGATTGGGCAAGAGTTCCATGCAGCGTTAGTGATGTTACTGTGATGGGGAGCACTTATTTTTCATTGTTATATTATTTACTGCTGTACATAATATGAGTAAGCTTGAGCCCATATGATAACCTGCGCCGCAATGTGCGCTCTGTGCCTTTGACCTAATGGTTGCTTGATGCAAGAGGGAAAAATGAGCGTGCTGTGCTTTAGACTTAACGGTTCCATTTGCTTGGCGTAATATTTTGCTATTGTGACATGTCACCCTCTCTCAACTAAGATATTATATAATAAAGAAAGAGTCCATTGACTGCTGCTTATATCTCACTCATCACTCACTTCAACGTCATCATTTCAAAACAGGTTGCTGGGAATTTTCACTTTGCACCTGGGAAGAGCTTCCAACAACACCACATCCATGGTAAGAAGTTGTTAAATAAATATCTACCCATCACTTTAATGTTATTAAACAGATGGATTTTACTTCATTAATAGCACAAGCACTCATCCTGAGTATGGGAGCTAGAGTCAGGGTACTCTATTACATAGTGTGTACTGGGGGGTGCCTCCTAGTTCATTTACAGATTTATTTCACATTGAATATTGATAGTAAGAGCGCTCATCCTGAGGGAAAGAGCAAGTACCTGTACATAGCGTGTACTGTGGGGGAGGGGGGGTTGCACCCCTTTGGTTATTTTTTTATCTATACATAAAATTCAGTTACATTAGTTTTTTGTCAAGAACGTCTTATTCAACATTTTCAATCCTTAGAGTTGTAATCAGTGATTGATGTATCTTGAGTAGCACATACRTGTAGTCTCTGATAGGATCAGGGTTTGGACCCTCAATGAATACACACACCTATTGAAACCATACCAAGTGCTCACCTCTTTAAACAGAGAATTCTAGGAAGGTGAAAAGTGGAGTTTAGTGGGGGAGGGATACTATTTAGACAAAATTCAACTATTACCGATCGAATTGCCATGCTGCAACTTTTATCTCAATCACATACAGTAGCAATGAAAGCAGGGTAATCCATTAAAACGTTTAAACTTTAAATCCAATAAAATTTAAATCCTTATGATTCACATAATTAAAAAAACCTAAAAACCTAAAAACATATAAAGCCAAGACTTTGGAAAAAAAACAAAACTTAAGACAAATTCATAATAAAATAAAGAAATATAATTAAACGTTAATTTACTTAATTCCTAGACACTTTCTCATTAAGGAATATAAAACGTGCATGTGTCTCTGTACTGTGATATAAACACGCTGTAGAGCAAATGAGAAGCAAGCTTAGGAACACCAGGCGTAGCCAAGTGTTTCTCTTGCTTCTTGAATCAATCTTTGATTGATATCCAATTAGTACCTACTTTGTCRCACGCACCCATGACATTCCATATGCTTGTGCTATTGAAAACTTTGTGTTCCCTGACGATGTCATGGAAACACTTTGATTGACATCCACCAAAACCTACTTAAATTTGATGCATTAATGCTCCTTTGCRTGTTATTAGCACATGCATGTAGTGCATGCCAATTGAAACAGCAAATGCCAGATTGCTGTTTGACAGGAAACATGAGTAACCCACTAATCAACATACCCTACTTCTAGCCATTATTTACCCTTACTTGCTACATGTATGTTCTGTCCTTTCAATATTTCTCACACTTTGATGGTATTGTGTTAAACAGGTCTTGTGTTTGCTTGCAC